CCAGGACCGGGCAGTGTTTAGTTCTGTTGGGCACAGGGTCACTATGAGTTGGAACTGACTGGGTGGCACCTAATACCACTACCACCAAAAACTTGGCACAACAGGTTAATCACACTGCTAGAGAACCAAATTAAGAGTGAGATGAAAAGACCATCAAAAGTACTCGTGGTGAGTAGTGCTCGTCTGGATGAAGAGAAACAGGAGGACCAGACGAGACTCCAGGGCATCTTGGCTCTAAGACTGACTGTCCCACAGTGAGGCTCTTCGCGGCAGCCCACAGAACTTCCAGGAGGAAAATCAGTTTATCAGCGCTCTTTTGAATGTAATGATGTTCATGATGACTTCCAGGAGGCCTTAAACTGGACTAATCTACTTACACGATGACATGCTGAGCCTGTTCCATACAGAAGGTGGAACGGCCCCAACTGTCCAGGATGAAAACGCCACGCAGATGCAAAATGCTCCCTGCTGACATCATCTGACGTGACAAAAACAATACACCTCTGCACTGGCCATGCTTCTTTGGGAAAAGAGTGAGGAGGTCCTGGCAGTGTCTTAGCTTAGCTCAGGAGGTAACAGTCTTGAGCACCAGCGTTCATGTGTCCAACAAGTCACTACACTGTCAGCAGCGGTGCCCGCCAATTCTCAGTGTGCTCAGAGCTCCCTGAGACGCTCCTGTTGAATCTTGCTGACACACAGAATGTAGGCCGCCCTTGCACGTAAGTACCGATGAGTCAGGTCCAACTCAGCAACCCAGGCTAGTGTATCTGAGGAGTGGGTGGTAGATTTGAACCACCCACCTTGTGGTTAGCAATCCAGTGCTTATCCTACAGTGCCACACCAGGGACCCGCAGACCATCATAAAGCTGCCTTAACAACAATGTTCTACACTGCCTTGTCACAGAGTCTGATAGGAAAATGTAGTAAATTGAATAGATTCCATTCTAGATAACTTGCTTCCAGATATTAGTGGTAGTGGGTTGGATCCAAAACCCATTGCTACTGAGATGAATCCCAACTCACAGTGTCCCTGTAGGACAGGGTAGACTTTCTACACAGGGTTTCCTAGGCTCTACATTTTTATGAAAGCTGACTACATCGAGTGACTAGTGAGTTCTAATCACCAGCTTTTTAGTTAGAAGCTGAACGCTTAACCACAGTGACTAGTGGGTTGAATTGCTGTTGTTAACTGCTGAGGAGTTAGTTACAGCTCGTAGCAACCCACAGAAGGTATCTGAGGGGCGGCTGGCAGGTTTGAACTGCTGACGTTACGGTTAGCAGTACAGTGCTTACCCTATAGCACCACACCAGGACTCCATGGATTATATTGTTGTTGTTGCTAAGTATTGTTGAGTCAGCCAACTCATAGTGATCCTTTACAGGGTTTCCAAAGCTTTAACTGGTAGCGTAGTGGATTACGACTGGGCAGCTAAGGGAAAGGTCAGCAGTTCAGATCCAAGGGAGAAAGATGAGGCTTTCTGCTCATGTAAAGATTTACAGCCTCAGAAACCCTATACAGGGTCACTGAGTCAGAACTAACTCGGTGGCACGCAACCACCACCATTACCAAAGCTTTAAATCAGGGAAAGCGAAAGTCTGACCCCGCGGGCCTGCAAAATCATCTGGTCTGGCCCTGCCAAGTCAACCACACGTCCAGCCATCTCATTATTACTGTTGTGAAGTACCGTCAAGTCTGTTCCAATTCACAGAAGACCCGTATAGGGTTTTCCAGGAGCAGCTGGTGGGTTTGAACCACCGACCTTGCAGTTCAAACTGATCTTGTGGTCCAGCGCTCTATCCCACAGTGCCACACCAGGACTCCACCATCTCATTAGGGGAGAGTTAATTAAACGTTTAACCAAATACAGCAGGCTAATTTTTAAGTTGATAATTTTGTATGGCCCGGGAATGATGTTATAAATATCCAAATGACTCTTGGTAGAAATCTTTGTGGGAGTAGAAAACTTCATTTCCCTCTTGCAGTGACTGGTGGACTCAAACCGCCGCCCTTGTGGTCTACAGTCCAGTGCTTATTGTGGGTTGGATTGTGACCTCTAAAAGTCATGTGCCTATTCAGATCTTCAGAATGTGAACTTATTTGGAAATTGGATCTTTGCAGACGTCCTGAGGTGAGGACTGAGACAAGTTCAGACTGAGGTCAAAGACTCAGGAAGAGGCCATGTGAAGATGTGACAGAGAAAGGAGTTACTATGCCACAAACCAAGACGCCTGGAGCCACCAGAAACTGAAGAGGCCAAGAGGGAATGTCTCCTCAAGGATCTGGGGAGAGCATGGCCCTGCCAATACTTAGAGCTCAATCTTTGGGCCTCTAGAACTCTGAAACAACACGTTTCTGCTCTTTTCCGCCCCCTCAGCTGTAGTGATTTCTTAGGACAACTGAGAAGACACTGGCTTTAGTGGTGAAAACAGGTGCCACTGTTATGAAAGTATTAGCAGACAGACTCCTGGTGTGGTGCTGTAGGATAAGCACTGGACTACTAACTGCAAGGGCAGAGATTCAGACCTACCAGTCGCTCCTCAGAAACCCTATACAGGGTTTTTTAGAGTCAGAACCGAATCACAGATGGCACTTCACAAAATCAGCAGAAAAACTGTTGATGTCCGATGGCTCTTGGCTGAAAACAGAGACTATCAGAAAAGATGTTTACCTGTGCTTTATTGACTCCACAAAGGCTTCTGACTGTGTAGATCATGACGAGCTCTGGACAACATTAAGGAGAACAGTATTTCAGAACACTTATGAGGAACCTGTACATAGACCAAGGGGCAGTCATTCCAACAGAACAAGTGGACACAGAATGATTTAAAATCAGGAAAGGTGTGTGCCAGGGTTGTATTCTTTCACCATACTTATTCAATCTCCATACTCAGCAAATAACCTGAGAAACTGGATTGTATGAAGAAGAACATGGCATCAGGATTTAAGGAAGACTCATTAATCTGCGATGTGCAGATGATACAACTTGCCTGCTGGACATGAAGAGGACTTAAAATAGTTACTGATGAAGATCAAAGACCATAGCCTGCAGTACAGGTTGCAGCTTAATGTAAAGAAAACAAAAATCCTCATGAGTAGCCCAATAAATAACATCGTGATAAATGAGAAAAGACTGAAGTTGTCAAAGACTTCATTTTGTTTGGTTTCACCATCAACACGCATGTAAATAGCAGTCAAGAAATCAAATGATGTATTGCATTAAGCAAATCTACTGCACAAAACCTCTTTCAAGTGGTCAAGAGCAAAGATGTCAGTTTGACAAGTAAGGTGTGCCTGACCCACGCTGTGGTATTTTTCACATGCCCTAAATGCATGTGAAAGTTGAACAGTGAAGAATTGATGCATTTGAGTTATGGTTTTGGAGAAAAGTATGAAAAGTACCATGGACTGCCAGATGAATAAACAAATCTGTGTTGGAAGAAGTACAGCCAGAATGTTCCTTAGAAGTCAGGATGGCCAGACTTCATCTCTCATACTCTGGACATATTATCAGAAGGGACCAGTTCCTAGAGAAGGACATCATGCTGGGTAAAGTGGAGGGTCAGTGAAAAGAACCCCAAGGAGATGGACTGGCACAGTGGCATCAGCAATGGACTCAAGTGTAACAACAATTGTGAGGTTGTCGTTGGACTGGGCAGTGTGTTGTTCTTTTGTGCACAGGGTTGCTAGAGTCAGAGCCAACTCAATGGCATCCAAGAAGAGCAACAACTCTTGCTTTTGGAGTCTTTGTGTGGTGCTGTGGAATAAGCACTAGACTGTTAACCACAAGATCAGCAGTTCAGACTCATCAGCGAGTCCTTGAAACCTTACACAGAGTCGCTGTAAGTTGGAACCCACTCAACAGCATTTAATAACAACCGCCTTTCAGGGGACAGATGGCTAGGTGTTTCTCCTGCGGAAATGCTTATCAGTTCAGACTGTCACCGTTTCAGCTGAGTACTTAACAGCTACGTCACCAGGGCTCCTTCTGTTTCTCTTAGCTGACTCATCCGTGAGCGGCACACCTGCATCACCTTCAGGCATGGAGCAGGGACTCCAGGGTTAGACTGCCTGTCTCTGAATTCCAATTCTGCTACTTACTATCTAAGTAGCTGTAGGTAAGAGATTTCATTTCTCTGTATCTCAGTTTCTCCTCATCACTGAGTTGTGGCTAATGTGTGCACAGCCGTTAGAATAGTGTCTAACCACCATAAATGCCCTGACAGTGTTAGCTGCCATCATTACTCCACTGCCTCTATCTACGATGATGAGAGCTACTGTCTCTATCATTGTTACTGCCGCTGCTGCTGCTGCTATTAGAGATGTACCATGCTTTAGTCTGCTTTGCCTAACTGCGCTTTGCAAATACTGCATTTTTCACAAATTGAAGGTTTGTGGCAACCCTATGTCGAGCAAGTCTATTGGCGCCATTTTCCCGACAGCCTGTGCTCACATCATGTCTCTGCATCCCATTTTGGTCATGCTCAGCATATCTCAAACTTTTTCACCATAATATTGCACACTTCACAGACTACAAAAAGGCGTCATCCTGCTTTTCTATGTACTGGGAAATCAAACATTCAGTGTGCCTTGCTTTCTGGCAATATTTGCTCTGTGGTGGTGGTGATCTTGAATGGAGGCCACGTTTGGCAGGGCCACCCTGTGCTAGTATTGGTCTATCGTATCATCTGGGGTCAAGCTTGCAGCTTCCTCGTCAGTAAGGTGGGACTGTAGTCTCTTCCTTCCCATCAACCTTCTTCCTTTTTTCTGGTCAGTGGCTGCAAAGGGCCAGCACTGATGCAGAAGCACATTGACACCCATGGGCACACCCCTGTGGCCCAAGTCTCTGGACCGCCCAGATGCCATATTCGAGAAGCAAGGACAAAGTGTCCTGGGGTTCCCTTCAGAGGGCTCCCAGGCACCGTGTCTGCTCATCAGTGGGCCAGTGAGAGCTGTCTTCCTTCAGCGTGGGGAGGCTGGGCTGGGCTGACACTGAAGTCACTTCAGGGGGGAGCTGGGCTGGGCTGAAGCTCTGTGACACTGAGCGGGGCCACCTCACGAAGGAGCTGGGCTGAGCTGATGCTCTGTGACACTGATACATCTCAGAGGAAGGCTGGGTTTGGCTGATGCTAGGGAACACTGAGGCACCTCAGGGCACTCTTCTCCTTTGAGACCAAACAACAGTGAAGCTGAGGAAGAACCAAAGTGTATCTCATAGACACACACATATTTCTTCACATTTCCTTAACTGTTGTTTGGAATTCTGAGCTAAACGCTTTGAAAATTGTTTCTAACATTTTGTTCGGATTAGCCACTGACAACGAATGGGGAATGAAAATATTAAGGAGTCTAAGAAACACACTGAAGAAACATTGTGAAAAGAAACCAAGAAAACATGTTAGGAAACAACTTATAATCATTACAAAGCAAGAGAATTTCTTCGGCTGGGAAGGGAAAACAGCCCTCTCTCTCCTCCCTTGCTGTTTTAGTCTCATAACACCAAGAATATCAAACAAATTTAGGGCTAAAAAATTTTATTTTTATGAAGAAAAAGAAGGCATTCTGGCTTTGAAAACAAATGTGGTAGCCGAGAGTTGAAATGGTCTCAGCTCCAAGAGACGATTTTACCACACATGACTATCCAGTCCTGTCAAGGTGCGAGAGCGAAGAGGGAAACCTGATGTTCTCACTGGTCCAGACACTGGGGATCTTGACTGAAAGGACCACTGGACAGCTGGTGAAAGAGGCTGGAGTGACTAGGCAGGCACCCGGGTAAACGGTCCTGAGATGTCACTCAGCTCTCAGTGTGTGGTCCTGGCACCGACCCTCACTAGGAGTCACCTCGCCAGGAGATTTCATGTGTCATTTTCAAGCTGAAAATGATCATGTGTAATAAGGCAGAATCTGTGGCTCCCAGATGCACTCCAGAGCGCACTGTTTCCAATTTTCCTTCTTTTATACTTAGCACACTAAGCATGTTCCAGGTTCTCTGTGAGGTATACGGCACGGCGCTGCATAGAAATGGACGTCTCAGGTTTCCTAGCACTATGGTCTGACAAAAGACAAGGAGGCAAGTAACTTTTGTCTGGGGCCACTTGACTCTTCTAGTCATGGATGGCACTCAGATCTCCCTCTCTTTTTTTATTAGTTAAAATGATCATCACCTGATATTAATAATCACTATGGTTGATTAGTTGGTTATGTGCCATGGGGTAGGTTTCAACTCATAACGACCCTGCATAGGGTTTCTGAGGCTGTAAATCTTTACAGAAGCAGAATTTCTCATCTTTTTCCTGTTGAACAGCTGGTAGTTTTGAACTGACCTTGAGGTTAGCAGCCCAACTCATAATCACTACACTACCAGAGCGCCATAATAAATCATTATATTCCTAAGCAAATAAAAAATTCTTTACTTTTAAAAATACAAACTAGCAACTTCCGGAAAAAGATGGCAGATCAGGTGGAAGTGTAGTGACGAACTCTGCCGAGAACAAGACAGAATACAGGACCAAGAAGGCTCAGGGAATGGTCCCAGTACTCTGAACCACATATTAAGGAATATTTAGAAGGTTGGAAGACTTACAGCTGGGGAGTTTGTGGCAGAAG